GTAAGTGAGAATGAACATTTTGGGTTCCGTTGTGCTTCGCTCTACTTGCTTTCTCGCTGCACATCCTTTGCAGCTACTGCATCTATAATGGTTCCTATGGTGAAACGTAAAAAAATATATTTAGAAACTAAAGTTAAGGGAAAATGAGAGAAAATTGTATTTTATGTACGTATACCTTGGATATGGAGAACCCTTTATGGGTTTTTGTCCATATTTTCTCCATGCCCATAAATATAATGAAAGGTTATCAGCGGTTACAGGGCACACTATTTTCTTTTGTTGGCTTTTTCTGAAAGGAAGAATTTTTTAATGTAAAAAATTATCTTCTTTTAATAAGATGACATGAATGTGAAGTATATGAATGACAAATGTATATTTCACCTTTTCCTTGACTTGGGTGTTTGTATGTTTGTTAAAACCTATAAGAAATTTTAGGTTAGTAGTCAAATTAAAGTGATCCTTCAAGTAAGGTTTATGGCTATAGACATAATTATCATGAAAATTATTGTGTAATTACCTAAAGTCTTATTTCTATTTCATGATGGACAAAATTGAAATAAGAAAATGAAGTAGCATCTCCCTTCACAGAATGGTATGCACTTCTTATAAATAAGGGGTTATGGTCATAAAAAGAACCACATCATGACACAAGATGTCACATCCAAATCAAGTCATTCTCTCCATCCCATTAGGGTAGAAACTGTTGCGCCCCGATTTTCGGCCGCACGATTTTGTTAGAGTCACCACTACATTTTATAGTCAAAAATGTAGAAAAATCTATTGGCCGAATTACATTAGGCCTTGGATTTTGATATCCAGGTTCGGGAGTCGGTCACGGACTATGGAAGGTATCAGCACCCTATCCGCCCAATTTAAATGATACCTCTAACTAAATTGCATGGCTTAATTTATACTTAAAAGTTATTTGTTTATTTAATTAATTATAAAAAAGCAAGATTTAATTTATTTTTTTGTCGTGTCTGACAAGACGTGATTTTGCTCCTACGTATCCCTATAAAAACAAGACTATGTAGTTCTTTTGGTAGAAAAAGATTTATTGGTTGAATTAATTTTATTATCGTTTAGAAAATGTGATGTTTAATCTTAACTAATTTTATATTAATATGAGTGAAGTACAGCTCTTGTGTCCGATACCGCATCTCATATTAAAGATTAGTTAAGATATTCATTTTAAAATATATTTAAATTTATTAAAAAATGTTAATTTACCTTTTCATTTCTTATAAAAAATATTTTTAGATTTAATAACTGAATATAGTAGCAATTATTCCTAAAATTTAAGAAAGTGAAGTGCAGGCTAAATGCCCGTCACCACATCATGCCTAAAAAATTAGAATAGTTGTTACTTTAATTTTCTACAAACAGATGTGTTTTTATACTTAATATCTAAAAAATGTTAAATTTATCAATTGTTAAATTAAAATGAAAAGAAAAGTGTGACGATGCATTATTCATTTATCACTCATTTTGGATAATAATGTACATAACAAGAGTAAAAGAAAATATATTTGACTTCAAATGATTATATGCAGTGGATCTAAGTGTTCTAGCAACACCAAAGAAAATAATTGATGAATGAATATTGATTGAGAGGATTGTTGTGTAATGTGGAAAATTATACTTTTTTGGATGATTGTGTGTGGAAGGTAATGTCTAGAGAAGAAAATGATTGATGAATGAATTTTGGTTTAGAGGATTGTTGATGATTTTTTGGAATAGATGATGGATGAATTTTTGGAGTTGTTTTCTAATATATTTTTGTGTATGGGGTTAGGAGGAAGAAGATTAATGTCTTGTTTGAATTGTAGGAGATGGAGTGATGTTTATAGGTTGAGATGGTTTTTTTAGAGGGGGAGAATTGAGGTGAAAATGAAAAGAAGATCTTCCCTTTTTTGTGAATAAAATATTCTATTTATAGGCTATGTATTTTAGCACTGTTTAAATCCAATGCAATCTCCTAATTAATTCGAGGGAAAGAATAAAAAGAAACATAATTCTTTAATTTAAGTGACTGAATCATTCTCATTAATCTTTTTGATTAATATTTTAATATTCCTCTTAAAAAAATCATTCACATAAATGATAATAATTGCTAATCAAAGCTAATAATATTCTCTTTTTCTCTAGTTTTCATTTTTTAAGATTTATCTTTTGCATTACTATTACGAAATGCTAATAAATGATTTAAAATCACTTAAAACCAAATTTATTTTATTTTAAATAAAAAAACGAAAATAAGTTGACTCATCATATCAATTGCTATTTTGTAAAAGCGAAATCTCAATCAATTTGGTATTGAATGTACTAAATTTGATTTGCAAATTTTGAAGTTGTAATCTTTGAGTTATTATCTTAATCAAATTTGGATAAAAAATGAAGTATCTAGATATTTAATTCTTATCAAAACAATTCAAATAACCTAATCAAATTCATATGACAAATCACTTGATTTGATATGATTTGCATCTTTCATATTGAAATCCTTGATTTTTTACCAAGTTTTTATGAAGCAAAAAAATATTCAATATTATTTATGAAACAAATGATTTTCAAATGTTTTGGACCGGACAAAATTGGGTGTTCACAGAAACTAAGGCTAAGGGTGGTCTACAATTGGAAGACCAACAAACCTAAATGTTCTACTATGAACATGCATTCGCATACAAAGCTAAAGGAGGGCATTAGAATACAATGATGTGAAGTTGATGGACACATGACAAAGAATGATATAAAGTTTATTCTCCATATTCTATATGAATGTTAAGGCTCAAGTTCTAGTTTTATATTATAGTTATTCTTGATAATTTGATATGATTGATATATTTATATGATGATGATATTATTGTCATATTTAGTATCTTCAATGATATAAGATTACTACAAAACCATGGAAGTAGTTTGAGGTACTAGGACATGTACTTGATTGAGGTGTTTTTGTTCTTGTTGATGGAGTTCTTCTGGATGTTGGGTTGCTGTCCATGTTGTTGTTGTTGATGTAGGTGATGGAATCTTTTCAAACCAGAAGTGGGTGCTCCAATGAGAGTGTAATTTGTGGTGGGAGAAAGAACAGTAGTATGAAGGTGTTGCTTTTGTCCAATGGATCCTGAAAAATCAGAAATAAAGGAGTTGGGATTGATGCTATTGCCAGTAGTATTAGTGGTGGGGTTAAAGGTCATGAACAATGGGTGCAGTTGCTCTTGGAACCCATTGGTTATAGGTGATTGGACAATAAAAGTAGTAGTGGTAGTAATATTGGTGGCGGTAGTGAGTGGAGTTTGTGTAATAGGAGTGGTAGTAAAGGTGGTAGCTTTACAAGATGTGCGACTGCTCTTCTCGATAAGTATCGTTCCAAGAATTAAATTTTTGATATTTTTGTCATTCTAGAAATTTAGCGGTGCCTTACATAACTAAATCAACGTCTTGTTGATACAGTTTTGCCCATTTGACACGACCACTATCATATTTAATTTAAACCCATTAATTCGGGAGGGTTCAATTTTTTCTTTTATTTTTCCTGTAGAAGAATGATATCTTTGGAGGATAGTTCTCTATTCCATTTGAGTTTGGTTGGCTAGTTTTGCTAATGGAATACACTACAAAACATAGGGCTCTCTCACTTTATATCAAATACCATCCACTCTGCTCTTGTGACTAATGCCCATTTGAGAAAGGGAATTGCTAATTTGATTCAATGTCCTATCGATTGTAATAAAATAAGGAAAATATTGAGAGTAGTAGATAGCGGAATAAAACCATATACATATTTGATATTTCCTTCATATTGCTTGATTTATAGGTTGGGTAGGATGGAGATATGTTGTTTCTCTTGATGTCCCTCTTGGTGTTCTGGACCAATCAAAATGGATGATTTAGTTAGAGAATTTTTTTTATAAAAATATAAAGTAATATTTTATATTATTTGGTATAATCCTATTGGATAGGGACATGGAAACAAGATTGTCTTGGGTAGATAGTAACGAGAAGGAATATTATGCATGCCCAGGGACAGACGAAATTTGCCACCACTTAATTTTTAGCTTTTTTAAAAGGGGAGGGATCCACTTACTCCAAGAGTAAGTGGAATAAACCTACTGCATATCTTAGTCATCTAATCTTGGAAATCCAATGGTTTAGATGTACTCACCAATTGAAACCATTGAATTTCCCAATAATGAATGATCATGATGTGAAATGAAAATGAAAGATTTGAGGTTAAAAGGTTTTTTAATGATGAAATTGACAAAGTAAATTTTGAAGAAAAAAGGAAGGAAAACTTTGAGACTAAAATCAACACACTATTTCTTTGTAATATATGTTAATGGCGTTTTTATTTTTCATGATAAGTATTTCGTGTAATCAGCTTTTTATTGTTTTAATAATTCGAAAAAAAGTTTTTGGGTATGTCAGACAACCGTGTGACCATCCATTGCCCAAGATGAAGCTCTCGAGAGAGCTCATCAAGCCACTTTTTATAAAAATATAAAGTAATATTTTATATTATTTGGTATAATCCTATTGGATAGGGACATGGAAACAAGATTGTCTTGGGTAGATAGTAACGAGAAGGAATATTATGCATGCCCAGGGACAGACGAAATTTGCCACCACTTAATTTTTAGCTTTTTTAAAAGGGGAGGGATCCACTTACTCCAAGAGTAAGTGGAAAAAACCTACTGCATATCTTAGTCATCTAATCTTGGAAATCCAATGGTTTAGATGTACTCACCAATTGAAACCATTGAATTTCCCAATAATGAATGATCATGATGTGAAATGAAAATGAAAGATTTGAGGTTAAAAGGTTTTTTAATGATGAAATTGACAAAGTAAATTTTGAAGAAAAAAGGAAGGAAAACTTTGAGACTAAAATCAACACACTATTTCTTTGTAATATATGTTAATGGCGTTTTTATTTTTCATGATAAGTATTTCGTGTAATCAGCTTTTTATTGTTTTAATAATTCGAAAAAAAGTTTTTGGGTATGTCAGACAACCGTGTGACCATCCATTGCCCAAGATGAAGCTCTCGAGAGAGCTCATCAAGCCACTTTTTAATCACGCTCTGGTCACACGGTGATGTCTCATCAACCAGACTTCGATTCTTGTCTCCTTAGAACTCAAGGACACAATGGTACAAGCCTATAGAACAGATCCTGTTCAAGTAAGGTCGTGATCTTCTTTGTCAAAATTGACATATATAAAGGTTTATATATTTCTCCATTCTTTCGATGTGGGACTAAGTTCATTTTACCTCAATACTCGTTGCTGCCATATGGGGTTCAAAACATTTACCATCGTGCAATGCTATGGTAGTATGATATCTATTCCATAAGAGTTTCGTAATCATAGCTCTACAAGCTGAACAAGGTATCAATATACCTTGCTTGATAACCTACTCAAGTGCATCAACTACATATAAATTAAATTTCTATTCAACACTGTTCTTCAATAAAATCATTAAAACTTTTCGTTCATGGGATTTTGATCATAATTTTTTATTTACATCTGAAACAAGATAAATAAAACTTATTTATATAAGGCATTTTGATCAGGTAGATCATTGCACCATCATAGGCATTTTCCAGTTTGCCCTGATTACACTTAACACTAGAAGAGAATTATTCTTTTCAAACTCTGTTAAACAAACACCACATATACAAGGTTAGAACTATTCAAATTGTTAGACCTAAAACAAATTAGAAAGAAACAAAGTATATTATGGGACTTTTAAATCATATTTCCCTTTAAAAAATTCAAATATGAAGTGAGCTGTAGATTCAGGTTGTCACCAAGTGAATATGGAGAGCATTAGTTCAATACGTGACATCTTGAGGAAACTACAATGCCAGTATCACAATATGGAAGATAAAATCAAAGACTTGAAGAAGCCACCAATCAACACATTACATAAAACAATAGATGAATAATAGCTAACATTAAAAGTCAATAAATCATGCACCGAAAGCTGTTAGATGTTCATTTATACTGACTTGGAAAAGTCACACAAACATTTGGAATGCATGGCTAACAATGGATACACCACTAACAGGTTACCAAGAATTGGAAAAACCTCCATCAAAAACACAAAGACTGGGTAAAGAACCCCAATGAAGACTTTACATAAAGCAATGGGTCAATGGCTAACATTGAAAACTGATACAACATGAACAATAAACTATATGCATAACTATATGTATACATGTTTCAAGTTATATACATAGCTATTTAGGAGTTTAAATTAAAAATAACTGCAGTGTTATATAAATTGGTTCTCGACTAACGGATAACTTTTCAATTTAGTTGCAAATAGTAGTTTCTTAATCAAATTTAAAAGAAAAAATAAATTGTTTCATACTGATCCATTCACAGATAGCATGCTACGCCTTGAAGGATATATACTCAGTCAAAATTGTTCATATTGATTCACTCTCTCATATCTTGAAGGCAACTACAGTGCCAATTTGAAAGATCGCGACAAAGACCCGTAGAAGTTGTCGTCAACATGTTATTGAATTGTGGAATGCAGAAACGCACCGGTTATGTTTGAGTGAGTCCCTTGCTTAGGGAGTTGTCTTCTCGCCCCACACACCCTAGCATGTCTACCATAATCCCAAAATGCTTAATGGTTGGCTGAACTTTATATTTACTTCTCAGGAGATCAAAATATTCATAACCCTCATCTACTTTTCCAGCATGTCTACAAGCTGCTAAAACACCAGATAAGGTGATCTCATTTGGACAAATTTTGGTCCTTCGCATTTCCTTGAACAGATTTATTGATTCCTCAGCATGGCCATGTAAAGCCAACCCGCATATGACTGAGTTCCATGAGGCTACATCTTTTTCTCTTATTGACTGGAACACTTCAAGTGCTTTCTCTATGCTTCCACACTTGGCATACATATCGACAAGAGCATTTGCCATTAACGTGCTGATCTCTCCGGAACTCATTTCCAAGATCTTGGTATTTATTTTTTGACCATATTCCAAATCTCTCAAATCAGCACAAGCAGACAGTAGGCTCAACATTGTTACCTCATCTGGGTATTCCCCAATCCTGCTCATCTCTTCAAATAACTCCACTGCTTGCTCCTTCGAGCCGCATTGCACATATCCCGTGATCATCGTGTTCCAAGTAACCACATCTCTCTCAGGAATCTCATCAAAGAGTTTCCTCGCCCTCCCCATTTCCCCCTGCTTCGCATATGCCGTGATCATCACATTCCATGACACTAAATCCTTAACCGGCATTTCATCGAAAAGACGACGTGCAATGCTTAAATCCCCTCGTCTAGCATACCCCACAATCAAAGCAGACCAAGCAACCACATCAGTCTTAGCCAAATCATCAAAAAGTTTAGATGCAATCTCCAAATCTCCACAAGTAGCATGGAAGGACAAAAGGGTGTTCCTCACAAATGCATTTGAACCGAACCCAAGCCTCTCAACCCGGCCATGAATCATGAAACCGGTCTTGACCCAAGAAAGCTTGGTGCAAGCCTTGAGGACAAAAGGGAAAGTGAAGTTATCAGGCTTAACAGAACGGTTACACATCCGAGCATAGAGTTGAATTCCTTGCAGGGGATTTTTGTTCTCAACGGAACCTCTTATCATGGTGTTCCACATAAACAAGTCTGGTTTGGGAATTTGAGCAAACACTTTGTGTGCGTATTCTGTGGTGTCGCCAACAAGTGACATGACAGTGGTGTAAACAAGTTCTCTAATAAAACGACGGACTGAGATCAAACCATTGACGATAATGTAAGCGTGGATCTGTTTGAGAGTGCTAATGTTGTTGCATTTCTCAAATATGGGTGGGAACCTTTGGTGAACAGTTAATATTTTTCTGTTCATGGTAAATTGAAATTTTTGGTTGGTCTATGTAGTTGAAATATTAAATGGGGAATGAAATGAAACAAATGATTTTGTTGAGGAATAATGTAGAATGAAATGAGTGTTTGAATTTAGGGTTTAGGGTTTGCATATGGAATGAGATTGAATATGTAATGGGATTGGAGGCAATGTGGTTTTGGTCCATTTTTTTCGTTTTAATCATTTGCAGAAAGGACATTGATGCCCCAAATTCTCTTTTTTTATCCAACATTTTGCACAATAGAAAATGCTTGTGCTACCACTATATGTGTGAGAACTTGCGACCTCTAAACAAATATATCAACTTACCATAAGAGTTGGTTTCTGCCTAAAGAAATCATATGTGAGATAAGATAGGGTAGAGATCAACTGTTCTATCATGTGTTGCCCACTAATATTTAGACATGTTAATTTAATGTATTACTTTTATAAAGTTAAATTAAAATAAAATGTTATTTTTTATTTGTTGTTGGTCTCGGAAGAGACATCAAGTTTAAAAGGACAAAAGATCTTGTTCCATGAGATATAATGTTTTTTTTAAGAGTAATGATATATCTTTCTACTAAATCATTTTGTCCATAATAAATTGACAAATATGTCAATTAAAAATCAATCATTAATAAACAAAATATTATTATGTAACACATATCAATATCTCGTGGGTATGAGAATATATCATTTTTCTTTAGTAATATGTAACTTATCTATAACATTTTATAATGAAATCAAATAAATAAAATGTATAATTCTTATAATACCTAAGAGTTTGGCAAGTTATGACTTTGATATATCTAAAAAACAATATGTACCTTTAACACTTTGAAGAAAAAAATGAATAAAATTAGTTTTTTGGTGTGTGAAAAACTTAAATGGGTATAGCTTTTCAGAATCCTAAGAATTTCTAATATTTGCCTACTAAAGGTGCATAAAGTAAATTAGATTTAAATTTATATATGAATTTCATAATAAGAATATAGCTCTTTTAACTAAGAGGTACTTAAAGGTGGGGAAAAAATAATTGTCCTTTAAGCAGCATAGTTACACAATTACTTGGACAATAATGAACCCATTTTGGGTGCTACCAATGATATCCTTCACCTTTTTGGTAAGACTTATGAATCAAATTCTTAATTTTTTGGTCGTCCTGGAATGTAGCGAGATTTTACACAATTGGACAAATCCTACAATCAAATCACCATTTTCACATCTTCAGTTTTGTCACTGAAGTAAAAATTAAGGGTATAATAGTTTAACTAAAACTTGATAAGAAAAAATGAAAAATCATATAAAAATCTAAGATACCAACAAATATCTAAGGTAGTGAAGCCAAGAGGTCCATGACCATCCATTTACATTGTGGATAAGATACATGTCAATAAGAATTATCATACCAAACATAACGAACAACTAAAATCAACCTTAGAAGCCATGAAAACTCTAACTATTAGTACATCAAACCAAAGTATCCATCTCTCAATATTCTCTTCATGGAAACCAAGATTCTCAGCATTTAACCCTAGAACAGCAAAAAAACTCAACTACCCATTAAGCACATTTAAGCCACATGCTAATGCCAAAGGCTTCTCTAGCAGACCTTCAACTTCACTTGAGAATGATGTCACTAACAAAAAGAAGACCAACAAAGGGAAAAAGAATGAAGATGATGAGATTCCTCAGGAAGTTTTCAACAAGATGATAGTAAGAATATTGGTTTCTGTATTAGTACCAATGGGGTCGGGTTTGGCAATATTGTATGTACTTGGTGAACTTAAGGAGCAACATGTATGGGATTTTCCCATGTGGGTCCCATTCTCTACAACTTTGTTAACTTTTGGAGCTTCTGCACTTGGAATTGTGTATGGGACATTGTCTACAAGTTTGGATGTAGAGAAGGAAGGAACATTTCTTGGGCTGAATGAAGTTCAAAAGAACTGGGAAGAGATGTGGCAAGAAGAAGATAATGAAGCTAGCCAAAGGTGATAATTATGCAGATTATAGAAGGTTCCTAAGTATGCATTAGATTTATAGATTGTTACCTAAGAGGAAATAAATAGTATTTTGCAGCATTATGTTAATGTTATATGTTACCCTAAGAGGACGTAAATAGTAGTGTTGAGCTACTTTCGCTATACATGTTATTCTTAATATTTGAAACAATTTTAATAGCAAGTTGTAAATCAAAAGTTACACTTACAATCTACGGGTGCCAACCGATTATAGATTACATATATAATATACAGTTTGATACAAGAAAAGTAAGCAATACACCATTGTGCAAAAGAAATAGAATTTAATTATAAGAACATATTAGATAGTCATAATTGGTATCTAACTTGAATCAAATTCAACAACGGAATATAGCTAAGATTTTGCCCCCTAAAAATGACTTCATTCCTTATATATTGGACAAACCAAATAACAACAAACCACAATATTCTCTAGATAGATTTCCCTTTATATAAATTACATAAAGCATCATAATAATGAACAAAATCAATAATAGTAGACACTAGACGAAATAAGAACATGCACCTAGAGTCACGAATAAAAGCCTCTCCAAACATCGGCCACAAGATGAAGATGACAAGAGATAAAAAGATAGATGGTCCAAGTTTTCATTATCTACATTCAAAAAGTTTCTTTTGAGAAGCTTTGATTCTATAGCAACTCTAGCTCTAAGAGCTTTCCAGGTGAAGCAACAGACCTTACAAGGCACACCACTAATTCAACTCAAATCAAGAATTTAACTTGTGTCTGATAATCTGATGGACAAGAGTGAGTTGAGGAAGATAAGCAGTTTTAACCACATAGCAACCAGATTTGTCGAGATTTCACGTCCATCTATCAATAACTCCACTTTTACAAGAATAATGTTGAATGAAAGTGTATAACTTTGTTACTAACTCTATCTCCCAATCAAACAGATTTCTCCTCCACTGAACATACCAGGACCAATTCCCATTAGACCAAGAACCACAATCAACCACCACTTACATTTTTGTCCTCTGCTATCAAAAATAATCTCGGAAGAATGTCTTTTAACTTTTGTTGTCCGAGCCAAACATTCTACCAAAATAAAGTTTTTGAACCATCACCAAGTTCCACTTGTTGTGTTCGCCTCCAACCAATTTCCTTCCTCCCTTGCGAAGAACCTACTTTAATTACATCCCTCCACTATTTCGAAGGATAGGCTGATGATGATATGACACCATTAGTGCAATACTTTGAATTAAAGTGCACATGATTATGTGTATTTTCATGAGTTGAATTATGACGTTATGGAGCTCCAAGTTCGAGTTATAATGTCATTTTATTGTTCATTAATAAAAATTTAAGCGAACAATTGCCACGTGAACAATCCAAAATGCTAGATTTTAAAATGATTAAACCACAATGATGAGATTATATGTCCCCATTCATGTCTCATTTGGTGTACCAAGTCAATCAGAAAATTTCATTCAAATAAAAATAAAAATAACAAAATCAGAAATTAATATTTACACGTTTAAATCCATTGACTCAAAGAGTAAGTTTTTTAAATTTACTCCACATCTTAGCCATCAATTTTAGAGAAATCCAATGGTTTGAATTAGTGGGTAAATCTAAATCATTATTGATGACTAAAATGTAGAGTAAAATTAAAAAACTTACTCTTTGAGTAAGTGAATCTTTACTCATAATATTTTACATATTATTATTCTGTCATTCATTATTTATATTGAATGACTCTCTTAAAAAAAAAAATTAATAGAAACTAATGATGAGTGATATTTTACTAATACACTAACAATATATACATATATTACTAATTTTTGAGATACACATCATAATTTTGTGCGTGACTCCTTTAAAAACAATTAAGACAGGCATGTGATTGTATATTATCATGAATTGAGTTATTGCTTTCCGAGCTCCACTTTTGGAATGTTATTATCATGAATTGGAAGATTCTCTTCATTGGAGCTCCGTGTTTTAAAGCGATATTGTCACTTTATTTTACAATCTTTCAATTTTATAAAAACTTTATTTTACAATCTTCCAATTTTTAAAAACTTTATTTTACAATTTTTAAAGATTTAAATAGACAATTGCCTAGGGTGTAAGCGGTTTCAGGTTAAACTGTGAAACCGATGAAACTCATCTGAATCCCAAACCACAAAAGTGGTTCGGTTCAGTTTCGCAGTTCAGTTTAGTTATTTCTTTAAGGAATCATTTATGTTTGGTTCAGTTCATGGTTTTAGATATTTAAGAACAGTTGGAACTGAATTGTACCACATATTAAGGAAATAAATACTATAGGATGATGTTGTATTGTTGTTTAAATTCTTGAACTAATTTTTTGTAAATTTTAGTGTCATATATGTTACTATATTTTTATTAGGTTAATGTTATATATGTTATTATTTACTAAATTGTCTCTCAATGTCTTGATGATTTAGAGCATATTTTCTAATTTTTTATGTACTCAATTTGAAACTAACATACATCATAAATTATTATATATGTATTATTATATATTTACTATGTGATATATATTACTAAATTGTTATGCATGTTAATAATCATGAATTGTTATATATGTTACTAAAATATATATATATATATATATATATATTACTAATTCTAGATTATATTATTATATATGTATTATTATATATTTACTATGTGATATATATTACTAAATTGTTATGCATGTTAATAATCATAAATTGTATTGTTATATATGTTACTAATATATATATATATATATATATATATATATATATTACTAATTCTGGATTATATTATTATATATTTACTATGTGATATATATTACTAAATTGTTATGCAGGTTAATAATCATGAATTGTATCATTATATATGTTACTAATATATATATATATATATATATATATATATATATATATATTACTAATTCTGGATTATATTATTATATATGTGATCATTCATTCTTTTTCCTTCTTAAATTATATAATTGTTATATAGGTTACTAACAAGCAATTATGACTTTTAATTGTTTTACTCATCTATGCATGGTTCATATTTTCTAAAGTAATAGTAGTGTTTTTCCTTTTATGGACAAACAATGTTTTTGTAATACAATTTGAACTTTTAATTGATATAATTTTTGTTATAAAAAATATGAAAATCGTGGAACCGGAACACATCACTCATAAGCAGTTTGGTTTAATTCATGAGTGGTTCGGTTCAGTTTGGTTCCTATAGTAAAATTTGCGGTAAATTGAGTCGAACCAAACTATATTGTATTCGATTTGGTTAGTGAAATGCACCAAAAATCGAATCAAACCAAACTATATATTTGTGTTCGATTTGGTTAGTGAAATGCACCAAAAATCGAATCAAACCAAACTTTTACACCTATCGCGTGGAAATCCAAAAAAGGATAAATTTTAGAACAACTATACATATAAATCACCAAAAAAATCCAATGCCTTAAAGTTCTCAAATTTATATATAGAGGGAAGATAAGAATTTACTATTAAGTAATGAATCATTCTTTTGTTCTTTATAATATCTCTCATCCTCATTGTACCATTTCAATTTTTAAATGCATTTTCAAATCTACTATCTCATTTTTTCATTTAATTATTTTTCTTTTAAGAACAAATATTTTTAACTGTTATAAACTTATAATTACTTTTTCTCGTCAATTTTTTTTCCAATTAATTGATATAATTATCTAATTCACTTATTTATTTGAAGATAGATGTTTTAATTACTGATACTAAGTTCATGTTTTATACTAACTAGCGTGTTGACGGGCACTGTCGTGCCTGTTAACCCGCTTTCCTATCGTTTATAAAGTGTAGTCTACATGCAATAAACGTTTAATGCAATAAATTGTATTACATATTGTAATTTGCATATATTCAATTGAAGTAATTGTTCAATATTAATGAAGTGATGCATATAAAATAATGTTCATAATTTAATTATTCATAAGAAAAACTGTCATGTTCCCAAATAAACTGTAATATAAAAACTTTATCACCTAATAGTTTATAGATGAATGAATAATGTACATAGATATTAAATTATAAATTGTGAAGAGTAAAATAGATTTTTAAAAATTATATCATGAGAAATTATATCATGAGAAATTATATCAGAAGTTATATATATATAACATTTTGATTTATTTTTGTTTAACTTCCTCTGGTGAAGAAATTATTATATATTTCAATAATATATTGACCCAGCCTTCATGCATGGGCATCTAATATAGTGGTGTTGACTATCCTATTCACGCCATACAGCTTGGATTTAATTAAGAATAAATATGTAATTTTATCTTTGTGTGTATTATTTTGATTTCCTAAAAAATAAAAATTCAAATTAATATTCAAAAATCACAAATAAAAGTAAAAATAGTCCATATTAAGAGTTATTAAAAATCATTTTGGTTTTACAATTTTTAAGGGATTAAATTAGTACACCCAAAAATTATAAGGCAATAAAATAGATACGCACTCTTTTAATTAATTGATATTTAATTAGTTAATGTGTGTGACAAACTCTTATCATATATGTGTTGAATCTATTCACATAAAATGTCTTGTTAAGCTGATAAGATTATTGTCTATATTTTAAATTTAAATACCACATGTCTCTACATTAACGGAGAATATCATACTCCAAACGAAGAGACTTTAGACTTTAGAATATTAAAAGAGAGTCAACCAGTCAAGTCAAGGCTACTTGAAGTATAAACTTCTTAGAAACACTCTTCTTTACTTACTCTTTTGTTTTTTATACCGCTTACATTAAAATATATTCTTCAAAACAAAATAGTCTAAACAATTTTCTACATCACAAAAAATAATACTTATAAAATCAATGAGGTTAACTCGTTAATAAATAGTAAGAGCTTCCAGAGTCCAAAACATTCTTTCTTTTACCCTTCAGATTTTTTTTAACATATATATCTAGGATAGAATAAGGATTGTCTTGAGATTTTACAGGTGCAATGTGAAAAAGAAAATTAAGGCGCTTAATTTAGAAAGGCAGTAAAATGAGGGTTAAAAATAGATTATGATGGTGATCAGATAAAAATGAATATACATTGTTTACCAAAAAAATTAATTACATAAAACTTTTCAATTCCAATATATTTTTTTAAAAACAAATCTCACACAAATCCTAATAGCATGAAGATATATATTCTTTTGGAACTCAATTATTGTTACTTATTGGAAGTTTTGAATTTAAAATATTTACAACCTCACACTTTACTCATTTTATATTGGATCCTTATTTTTATTATAGATCAATTATATAATAACTATAATGCAATGATTAATATAACTAATCTATGTGTATAATAATAATAATAATAATTTATGACACAACTAATCTATAAAAAAAACAGCAAACTTGTTTTACTAAAATGATTTTTTCTAAAAACTGTAAAAGTAAGATTAATTATGTAATTAAAAAATTGGAACCTCATTAATTATAAACTTTGTGTTGCGTATTTACCAGACCCCTTAATTGGCCGACCCGAGATAAAACTTAATTATAAAATCATTATTTTCCAGTAATAAGTATCTAATCATTAATCATATATACTAAATTACTAGTTAATTTAAAATACAATTATCCTCCTCTACCAATTAATTGAAATTGTTTTTTTACAATTCATTTAGAATAAAAATTTAATTGATAAGGTTGGGTAACAACTTTTCAAGAAAAAGACTAGGTTTGCATGGACCAGTCAGTATGATGAAAATAAAAATGAAGTGTGTGGTGAGAAATTCTTAGGAGCAATGAGCCAAATAAAAATTTAATTGATAAGTTGGGTTACAACTTCTCAAGAAAAAGACTAGGTTTGCATGGACGACTCAGTGTGATGAAAATAAGAATGAGGCGTGTGGTGAGAAATTCTCAGGAGCAATAAGTCAAAGGAGTTAAGGCTTAGAGGACGAAACAATGCTATAAAAACCGTACTGTACTGGTCAGTTCAACCGGAAACTGGTGAACCGGACCCATAACCAGTACGGTACGTATGTTATACCACATAT